TGAACCCCAATTCAGACGGTGAAATCCTTGTATCTGCTTTATTAACATCCACAATCTCTACACTTGGTCCAAATTGCAGCTGCCAGAGTCCTCAGAGGATCTAAGAGGTTTGATCACATAACACCTGTCCTGACGGTTCTAAGAAAAGAGGCCCAAGAGCACGACTCAGAAGGGAGATGTAAAAACAGTAAAGAGTCTTTACTTAGAAAAACAAGGATACAAAAATCTAAGCAGGCAAACAAAGTACAAAGGAACGGGCTGAGGCAAAATCCAAAAAATACGATCAGGATCAAAGGAGCAAAGAACAGAGCGCTGGAGAGCTAAGGCACATGGCACAAAGACAATCTGGCAGATGAGTAGGGGTGAGCTGGGGTATACACCGATCAGCCACAACATTAAAACCACCTGCCTAATATTGTGTAGGTCCCCCTCCTGCTGCTAAAACAGACCCATCAGGGCAGGGACACAGGACCTCTGGGGGTGTCCTTTGGTGTCTGGCACCAGGACCTTGGCAGCAGATCCTTTGGGTCCTGCGGGTTGTGGGGTGGGGCATCCACAGTCAGACTTATTCTAGTGCATCTTGAGAATGCACAATCGGATTAGGATGTGGGGAGTTTGGAGGTTGTGTCAACGCCTTTGGCTCTTTGTCATGTTTCTCGAGTGTTCCTAAGTGTTGTTTGCGGTGTGACAGGGAGCACTGAGATGACTTGTTGTAAATATGCACAATACAAATAAAATTGAATTGAATTGAATTGAATTGAATTGAATTGAATTGAATTGAATTGAATTGAATTGAATTGAATTGTCCTGCTGGGGGAGGCGGCGGTTGTCTGAGAGTGCTGGTAGCACAGGGAGGTGTGTTTGGTCTGGAACATTACTGAGGTGAGTTTTCAAAGTAACATCAATATGAAGCCAGGACACGAGCAGGAGATTTAATTGTAACGAGGTGATCAGTGTCAGTCACTTCAGCTGTCAGCGGTTTTAATGTGGTGGCTGATTGGTGTAAATACTGCGGTGCTGAATTTATTGTGGCTCCAGGTGAGCAAAGAGGTGCAGAAGATCAAGTAATGCAGCATGTAGGGAGGCAGGACAGGTGACTAAACCATATCACATGACGTCTTTAGATGCAGTACAAATAAGTGCTGATGCCAAAATCCTTCTTTGGAGTCTGTTCATACATTTCCAATCTTATCATTCCACACACCCCCTCACATTTACACTGTGATTTTACTGTTGCTCTTGCTATGCTGGTTATTGAACTGTTTCTGGGTTTAACAAAATCTTTTACGAGTAGAACATTTGACCACTGAGCGTCTCTTCTTTGGAATAGACTTTCAACAGATATTCAGGATACAAGCCAGAGCCTGGATTTGAGATTTAAATAGCCCCTGATAGTTTTATAACCTGGGACATCACCAACTGATTACTTCTTTGACAAGCAGTTAACCCAGGTCTGTTCAGCGGTGATATGAACTTTAAATTCAAACTCCTAACCTCACTTCTGCTGTGATATTGACATTTCTACCTGTATGTTTGGCACTCTGCCTGCATGTGCATTTTAAACTCTGTCTGACGCTTATGAAGTGGGCAGAGATTCTTTGGGCGACGTGTACTTTGAATGAACTGAGGATGAAGTTGAAGTTGTTCATGATTTGTTGGTAAATGACAAATTTGCTCAAACAAATATGTAAATGTATGCAATAAACAGTACAGTTATTTAAAGGTATGTTTGTGCAGCTTTGAGTGGAGCTGCTACTGCATAGTTCAGAAGCTGTCAACCTGAAGGTCAGGACCTCTCTCAGAGCTCACAAGATGAATCTAATGGAGCCTTGACATAATTACTGAGACATTTTTTTGCTACATAGATTCATACATTAGTATGATTGCTCTGTATGCTGGTGAATTTTACCTCTTCAAGACAATGATCAAAATAAAACAATCAGAGGACTAGAGGAGACAAGTAGTCTTTAGTTGAGCTCACAACATATAGTGACACTGCTTCACTCTCAGGGTTCAGGGTGAGACAGGGTTAGAAGCCACTGCCCTGGACAGACAATAACTCAGCTAAACTAGGCTAGTCTCACTGGTTTACATACCTTGCTCTAAAAAATCATTTACCATTGGTACACAGGAAGAATCCTGAGACACTGAAGTTCTCTTTCACTGCATACATCCGTTTAACAATTAGCTTCCACTAACTCTCAAAGCAGCCTACTTTGCTATGTGACTTAAAGACTTCAAACACAGACGGCATCTCTCAGTCAAACCAGTAACCAATAAATTCAACGCACAGACTGAGAAACAGGTGGATAGACTGGAAAAGCAAAAAGGTGAGAATAGATGTGTGTGTGTGTGTGTCTGCGTGTGTGTGTGTGAACTTTCATTCAGACAGAGAAAGGAACAGTATGTGCCACGAGGTTAGGTGTTGAGATGAAAGAGGAAGAAGAAGAAAAAAAAAACCCTCTGAAGTCTCTCGTCTTCCTATCCTGCCCTGAGAGCATCCTGCTCGTCGGGCCCTGCAGCAGGAGAAGGGCCGACAATGAAATGAGGCAGGACCAGAAGACGTCCTGACTGCTCCAGGAGTTTGTCCCGCCAAGTTTATTCTGTTCCACTTTTCTGTGGAAATATGTTGCTTTTGGCTGTTATCCTTTCTTTTGCTCTTCCCTCTTTTTGTCTGTATATTTCTCCTCCTCTCCTCTCCTCTCCTCTCCTCTCCTCTCCTCTCCTCTCCTCTCCTCTCCTCTCCTCTCCTCTCCTCTCCTGACATTTAGAAATCTCCCACCAAAAAGCCTTTCCATGCTCCCCTTCTTTATTTTCAATTCTATCACCCTTGTTCTGATTTCCTGGCAGTCTCCGCTGTCAACATTAGCATTAAAGCCAGCATTAGCCCTCCGCTGTGTGCTCTTTTTTCTGGCCTCCATTTTCCAGCTCAGCATCTGGGCGTAGATAATATGAGAACACCGTCACCTTATCTCCTCAGAAATGACACACTGGACTCACGCCGTGTCAAACGGTGCTTCGTCCTGCTCCTATCTGATCCCCAGACGGAAAATAAAAAACTGCCCTGCTGAGCCCTGAGTGTTAGACGCAGCCACGAATCTTTAATGGAATGTGTGAGTGTGTGTGTGTACGTGCGGTGTGCGCAGCTGAAATCTTCCAATCTTTGTCAGTTTTCACTGGCAGCATTAGTATAATGAAGGAAGTGCAGAGATAAACTGTCAGTGGATTTTTCTGTGACTACAGTAGGAGGCCAAAGTCTGTCAAAGGTGCAGCCTCACATGACTTATGAGTCATTTTGGCGTCGAATTTGATTACACTGTTGAACTTTATATTTTTGTCATTCAAGTGGCAAAAAAAAATGTAATAAATGTCAAGACAGTTATTCCAGTGGCCCTCCTCTCCCCTCCTACCTGTGAGCACAGGTCCTGGGGCTTCCCTCCCATGCCGTGAGGCATCTCCCGGCAGCGCGTGGACAGGTTGAGGATGGCGGTGGCGGCCATGTGGGCGGCCTCCATGTCGTGACTGTAGTCAAAGCTGCTCTTGCTGCAGGTGCTGCTGGCGCTGCTACCCCCACCCCCTCCTCCTCCTCCCGTACCCCCTCCGCCTCCTCCGCAGCTCAGGCTACTGCTGCTACTGCTGGGAGCGTAGGTGCTGGTGGTGCTGCTGGCGGAGCTGGAGTTCTTGCAGTAACGTTTGGCTGTGGGACACAATCAATCAATCAATCAATCAATCAATCAATCAATCAATCAATCAATCAATCAATCAATCAGGCTATATTCATGCAGCACTTTTCATACAAATAAACTGTAAAACAAGCAACAAACAATAAAACCAATACCCCACCACTCCCCCCATAAACGATTATGTCATAAATAAAGGACTCAATAAAAACAGGGACTGAGAAACTATAATAAATAGAAATAGAAAAATGTGAAAGATGGATAAAATTGAATAAAATGCATGAATAAATAGACAAAATAAAATAAATAAAAATCCATTAAAAGCCAGCCTAAATAGATCTCAGGTTTGTTTATAAAAATATCAACATTCTCTGCAGCCTCCAGGACTTCAGGAAGGCTGTTACAGAGAGAATAAACATAATAAAAAAGAATGTCTCTCCTTGGGTTTTTATTTTGACAATTGAAAATTCAGGTTACTTAAGACATGTTTATCCATCAGTGTATCCCTGAATAAATTCTGTGTATTTTAGCGTGTTATATGTATGGTTTAAGTTATACGCTACAAACCTGTCACAAAGTTATAGATTTCAGGATTTTTAAGAGACTATTTTAAGAAAATTGATTTTCCTGGAAGTCTTTTCTCATTGTGAAAACACAGCCTTGGAAAAATCACTTTCACTTTCCACCAAATATTCTTGCAACCCTCCTGAGATGCGTTTGCTTGATACATCTCTCTGAATTATTTTAAAGTTGTGTGTGTGCACCTGCGAGCTTGCTTGAACAACAATTAGTGGGGTAATATGGCAAAATAAATAAATAAATAAAAAAAAGACATCATGGGAATGTCAAGAAATCAACATTTTATCTTGTTCTAAAACAGTACCGTCATATCCTTTTGGGGAGGTGTCCCTTTGTCCATGAACTTTGGGTGCGATGGCCCGCTTCCCGTACACTTGGTGGTTGTTGCTGCCGTCGAAGGCGCTGTAGTCGAAGCTGGTCTTGGAGTACTTCTCCAGCTCCTTGGCCAGGTTGGAGCGGGGCGTGCTGGTGGAAACATTGTTCTTGTAACCATACTGTGGATAGTCCAGTTGTTTGACAAAGCACATAGGCCTGGAAAATAAATGACGAGGGGGTGGAAGTTGGACCGAGGCACTCAACATTGCCCAGGGGAAGGAGAGGATACTTTGGTTTGGTTAAAAAATGGGCAGACTGAAGGGAAGAGGGGAAGGAGCAGATACTAATACTCCAGGATTAGAGCATGGAGGATGATGCTGGAAGATGGAGAGGTGACTACTGTGCAAGGCATCTCTTTTATATGCCATCGCATGGATGTTTTCATGCTCTGTCTTTAAAAAAACTTAACTCTGCTACAAGTATTTTTCAAGCGTAGACAGTAAAAAAGAGGCCAAATTGAATTTACGCATTTCTTTTATTACTCTACCATACTTTTGATATGCTTTTATCATCTGATATGCATTTATAGCCTCAATCTAAGACCAGGAAGAAATGAAATGTAAGATCTTGCACTGCTGATGTTCGGTTAGATATAAATATAAAATTTACAATTACTTATGACTTTTCATCATAGCATTTCCATGACTATCAAAGAAACACTCATTCAAAAAGCTCTGCTTTCGCTATGATAAATGAGGCCTATTTTGTTAAAATCTTGTAAAGCGGTTTGCCTTCAGTGGTGAGCAGAGATATGAACATGCAGTTTCTTGGATGTATTCTCAGGGGACAGAAAACATAAACATAAAACAAAAAGGGGAGATGTCAAACCTCAATTACAGAATGTGAGAAAAAGAACAACACATTTCAACATGACATGAGCATTTTATTGTTTAAATCAGTGCATCCTGTCACAAAAGCCACATTTGATTACTGTTTCAGTGAATAACCAACCTATTTTTCATCCACAGTGTTCCTGAATTTCATTTAACAAGTTGTGTATGAAAGTGTGGAGTGAATACTACCTTAAGACTCGGTCAGAGGCCTGGTTGGACTTCGGGCCGTCACAGCTCTGGTGCTTCTCCTGGGCTTTGGCCAGCTTCTCGGCTGCAGCAATGGGACATCCTGACAGACTGAAATGAGAAAGCAACATAAATGGCACTGTGGAACACACATTTTGATAGGTGAAAATGTTACATTGAACGCACATGCTGTAAAATGTTTGGCTTGTTTGAGTGCTTGTCAGCCAGTCTGCCAGGCTGAAAACAGCGAGTGCACATCTGCCTGACAGCCAGTCAATCGCAATGTTCACCAGTCTGAAAGTACCTGACGACGGTTCAGAAAGTCTCCGCTTAAAATGCAAATTCATTAATTTTCATTACTTTTAACACTTTAGAAAACAACACAATTGGGAACAGCTTGCATGTTTCTGGTTGAACAGCCTAAAATAACTCTCAGAATAGATATTCCCATATGGACAAATGTGCATTTTATGTGCATTCTGCAGCTTGTTTACTTCAAACACCTGCTGACAAGACACTCGCACTCACACACACTCAGGATGTACACGTAAAGTATGCTCCAATAGAATTATGTCTGTAAAACTTCCTCTTGACAACAACTGACCAAATATGACAAAAGTTCATGTTGTTATCCTTAACCCCTATTATTCTCCATCCAGTCTGTCAACTGCAGTGTGTCGGGGAGCGGTGAAAAAATTATCTTTGACAATGGCCTGAAGCCAGTATAGAGTTGTGTTCATGAGCACCTGCCAGCAGACGCGCGTGAATGTGTGCAGGAATAAGAGTGTGTATCAGGTGGCAAAGTGTGAAGTAGTATATGGAGGTTTATATCAGCTCTTTCTAGTAAAAGTGAAAGTTTACTGTGCGTGCCCATGTGCGTGCCTATTTTGCGCAGCAGCCGTGTCACTGAGCACAGCGTGGAGGCATTCTGGTCCTCCCAGGTCTGCACCTCTCCTGTCACCCTGGCTGAGTGGCAGAAAGGTGCTAATGGCTGCTGCTATGCCTGACTCCCTGAGCATCTGCTGTGGGTGACACTCCTCTTTCACTGTCACCTCGCCCCGTCTGACAGCAGTGGCAAGAGCGCCCCGCTATTTTAGTTTCTCCCTCCAAACCTACACCTGATAGATGCCTTTTTTTTTTTGTTGCCATGAGCTGATAAATGATTTATGCTGCTGAAGGTGTGAATTTCTGCATTCTAATCAGTCTTGGTTGAACTATGGGATTGTTAAGCAGCTGAATTACTTTGTGTCCTACTAGCCAACATTATAAGGAAGACTGTAGTTATCCACACATAAATCTAACATGCTGGTGAAATAAAAAGAAGGGGTTTAACAAAAATTAAATAAAAAAATTAAGTAAAAGAAAAAAACAACTGACTTAAAAAATAATCCACGGAAAAATTATGAACCAAAAAAAAAAGTCCCACAGAAAAACAGGAGGGTTTAACACGAACACTGCAACTGAACACATGGGCTGTGCTCTTACCTTCTGTGAGAGTTTCTGTTGCTATTGACATGGCCGCGTCCCGTGCAGCCAGGCGTAGGACACTTAAGAACATTCTCATACATTGCCACAACTTCGCACAGACAGGAGATAGGAGTGAAAGACAGGGAAGGTTAGGAGCCCCTTACAATCACGCATGAGCTCTATTAGTGTGTGAGGAGCTTGGCATTATAAACATCATTAAGAAATGAGCCTGTGTGAACCCAAATGACCTCTTCTTCATTTTAATGAACACTAGTTTGAAAGGGCAGGCAAGGTTTCCCACCATATTGCTTCCACTTATCCAGCTCTTTCAAATTAGTATTCATGGAATAGGGACAGTCATGAATAAAAAGATGTCATTTAAGTTTAACAGGACAAAGCCAGTAAGAGACAGGGGTGGAAGTAAATTTTTGGGCATGCCAAGAGCAGAGCAACCAACAGCTAACAATCATGCAAAACACAAGCTTGAAAATCAATGGAAGAAGCAGACGGATGGAATACAGTTCCTCGATCGAGTGTGCTTTGTTATCATCCACATGTTGTTAGGGTAGAGAGTGCAGTCTTCAATACCGTTTACCATTAAAACAGTCCATAACTGTCTCAGATCCCCTCGGCAACCAGCCAATTAGATTAATGATCTATGGATGTCCGAGAGGAGCCGTCAGAGCACTGCAGGCGGGGGCGAGAGGAAGGGTCGTCTCGACACCAGTGGCATGCAGGGCCAAACCCCATCGGCATCAGCTTCATCATTATCACCCCCTTAAACTTTAACCCCTCATCATCCTCCTTCCCCTACATACTAATTGGTGTTCGGTGCAGGTAATTGGACAAAGTCTGCCACCTCAACATGCCACAAGCCAATACATTATGCATATCTCAGTTTTGCCCTGCCCTCTGCGGAGAGACAGATAGAATGGTTGGAAATTAAAGCACTGGGCCTGATTCAGTGGGCACAAATAGAACTAGAGATATTAACTATGTAGCTCCAAATACCTTGTGTCTTACAGAGGTAAATCACTTTAAAGACAAAAACAAGGACTCCCTGATTGAATATTTTAATATTCTACAGAAAGGACCTACAATGAGCAAACAGCAATGGGAATTAATGAATTTGAGATCTAATTTAATAGTCATTTTTCACAAGGAAGAGTCTGGCTGCACTGTGTGATTTCCCAATTAAATGAAGCCGCTGTATTAATAATACATCGTCCATTCAGCACAGCAAATGTGTTAATAGGGGGGAGAGACTTACCCATAACTGAGTCTGCCTTGCAGGTAGACACACATGTGACATGTACTCATATTTACCTTTGAAGTGGTGAAGCGAGGAGGCTACATAAGGCTGCTGACCACTTAAAACTGACCTAAAACATGGTGACTTGCTGCTCAATGGCTGATGAATATGGGACCTCCTGATAACCTTTCAACAACCACAGCAAGATTGTGTGTTTCACTCTCAAGTAACCTTTTGTAGTTGGGGACGAAGGGCTGAAGATGATGCCTCTTTTTGGGATTCAAAGTATCGTGTACAGCATTAGTAGTATCATTTCCCCCAAAAGTCAGACCGACACAAGTGAGGAACAGGAGGAGGAACAGACATCATATTCCAAAATCTCCAGTGACAATCAATTCAAGACCATTCCAAATTCCATTTTGGGGCTCTTGATCCCAGCCAAGGTCAACTACTCTGCATCATTTCACATTTCTGGGCGAGAAGGCTACATCTCAGGTTAAGAACCTTTGTGTGGGCGGCACTCTGCAGAACAAGAGTCGTCTGTGACACCGCTGGTCTTTACAAGCCAGGCTTTAATGGTAACTAATTTCTTTGCCATTGTTAAAACCCTCTTTTATTTTGATTGCAGTCTGGGTCATGGCAGATCATAACATGATTTTCACGCTGCGGTTAATGAATCGTGTAAAGGGGCTTTTATTGAGAAGTTTGCACAAGGTGAATGAGACTAAATAGCCAGGGTGAAAGGGAAAACTCACTTTTCATTCAAGGCTAATGTTTATTGCCACTTCACTTGATCTGTGGCTTAGAGATATGACACTGCCTTTCTATTCAACAGAACGTAATTGAGCAAGGAATACAAATAAATGAATGGGGTTTATGGCATGGGTGACTAAAGCACGCTCAGTTTCACCGAGGTCTGCGAGCATTTCCAAGTTTTCTAAAAAAAAAATTATATATTAACATAAAAAGACAAAAATTAATAAGATACCAGAGCATGGCATTTAACCTTTCCTTTTCAGCAATATACACACTCACAAACCATGCTGCAAAAAAGCATGCAGTCCATACAGTATATCCCCTACAATGACGAAAACAACAACATGGAATGGGGTATCATATGCTCTCAATCACTGTCAGTCAATGGAGCTGGTTAGAAGGTGTCATGCAGTCAAGTAAATAAATAATTGACAGCTCCAGACCATCCCACTAATCACGGCATTGCCACTGTTAGCACATTACCAAGGCCTCATTTCCCACTTCATCACCACGGCACTCAAGGCAGGCAATCAGCAAGCAAAACCATGGCCCCGTGCAAAAGGTCACAAAAGAAGTGCAGCTGCAGCCCATCTGACCCTCACTATAGCCTGCACTGAAATATCAAACACAGTCTAACCACAACAGCAAGTATACAGCACACAGAACGAGCCAGAAACAGCAGTGATCACGGGGAACATGCTGATTCCTGAACATCAAAGAACATCAAGGACACGGCTGGGTAAACAAATGAAACTAGTGTTTGACTGGTGTGTGACTGATATGCTTACTTTCTGGTGGAACCCTGTCTTTGTGCGGACAGCCGGACAGGCTTCGATGGTGAGGGTACAGGCCCGTCACGTGACCTGTGCCATCGCAGCCCGGCGTCGGACACCGACTTTCCTTCTTGTCTGCACGTGAAGCGTCTGTGAGCGGAAATAGTGAGTAGAAGTATATAGAGGTTATTACATATACCAGCATGCTGGAATGCTGCACTGCTTCCTTGTGCCAACAAACTAACACATTTGGGGATAGCACTATAGCAGGCACCTTACGTCAGTTGCAACTAAGAAACATATCATCCAGATGTCAAGTAAGTAATCAGGGAGTTAAAAACAGCAAAGGTGATTAACAGAAAGCATATGGCATAAAAATAGGAAGACGCATATGTTGAAGCAATGCAAATCTGCATCGCTTTTTAAATTTTAAATATATCAGTCTATCCAGGCTATTGCCAAGAATGTAATTTCTGCTGGGGATGAATCACTTCATGATGCTATTTTTGAATGAGAAAAGACTGCAGACACTGATTCCATTGCACATCTTAAAAAAGATAATTTAATATGTTTTTATTTCGTCAATATTCCCTTAAAAGGATGCAAGAATTAAAAATCCTATTAAATATTTAATAAGGAAGTGCTATATTAAAGAAATGTAAATATAACAATGTTAATTCCATCAATGAAACGTACGACACAAAACATTAATTGCCGACCTTTTGTCAACGACAAAAATGAAACTAATACTTAAAGGCATAAACTGTGTTTTACACTTCTCATCAGTGAATGAAAGTGTAACTGAGTGACCCGCAGCGTCTGTGAAATCACACACTGCAGCTCCTGGTTAGTCAAAGGTTCCTCTGTCACCAAGTAAGAAGTAACAGGTAGAGCTACATGAATCATCTTCTGAAGGACGTTGACCCTCTGTAGTGAAGGGAACAGTTAGCAGTGATGTGCTAATGCTAGGTGAGCCGGTCAGAGACAGCAGTTCAACGGTTAGAAATGATGATTGGATTTACTGACAAGAGACTGATGTATCACTGCAAACCTTTAACACCAATTTCATGATAGATGAGAATAACCACAGTAAGAGTACACACAGATTGCAACAGCTGTGGCCTCAAAATGCTTAGAAGATATAAAAATACAGTCTAACTTCAAAATACATGCACTTGCATTGTTTTGGCAACAGGCCACAGGTTTTTAACAGAGAAGTGGCTTCACTTTGTAATAAACTAAATGTGTGATGAAAGTCTGGCACACTGTTACTCATACATGTTTTTTTTTCAGTTGGACAGCATGCAGCGGTGTTGGAAACATTTTGATTTGTTCAACCCTCTCCTACACACCTATGTCATAAAACTCACCTGCAAAGAGTTCCTAAATGCAAAAATTACTTTTCAGACGTTACTTTTCAGTTGTTTATGACTTTAGCAAAAGAAACTCTGGTTTCATGCGAGTCCAACAAATTAACTTCCTTGACAATCGAAACCAATCAAATTTGAAGGTAAGTGGCTTTCTTGTTATTTACAGGGCATTGTTTATGGCTGTATTTATTTGTAGAGTTAGAATGGAGACTGACAAGGACAAAGATGCAGTAATTGGCTTGCTGACAGATCTTTTGATCATCAAGTTTGTTTACTGTAATGAAATTGTGAAGAAAAATATTACAACTTTTTGTTAGCGACCTTCAACAAAGTGTTTCATCTTCCGGTTTAGATTCAATCAAAATTGTATCACTCTTTCTTCATTAAAACCTCTCCAAGCTTCACATGACAGTTTGTTGAGCTGAGTATGACAACGATGGTTCATAAAGCAAACGCACACACAAAACACACACACACACACACACACACACACACACACACACACCGGATGAGATTGTCTTTCCCTTCCAAAACCTGGATCTCCTATTTCTTCCAAACCCAGATCAGATATGGTTACCACCAAAAAGCAGCGATGCCAAGCTGTGCCAACTGGCATTGTTTGTGGAAATGCAACCGTCCACCTTTAAAATACTTTGACTCTCAAACAAGGTCAAGGATTCCTCTTACTGTAAATATGCAATTACTCCTCCACATTACCATTTAAGAAGTTACAGCCTATAATTTATTTTCATAGCAGAGTTTAGGGAGGTTGAAAACATATCAAATTGTTGAATCAGAATGAAACCATGTGGGTGATAGAAATCTTTACCAGAAATTTGTATTAGGAGAGTAGATGGGAGGGGCTATTATCTCACAGAAACACAGACCACTGATTAAACTTTCAAAGGCCTGTGTAACATAGTAGCTCCAACTGAGGCGCTTGCTTGCAAACCAAAATAAACCCAGTGGTTGTGGAGTAAAAGCAAAGAGTAGATTAATCAAGTGAAGGTTCAAGGAGGGTTCAAAAAGGACAAAATTGGGAGGTGACATAGAACACGCCTCATTTTACAGTTATCAAACAAAATGCATGTGTCATTCATTAGGGGGAAAAAAAGCATCTCATTATCATCTGTGATTGCCATCCATCTATGTCACGTTGGAGCCAGACGAGTTTTGCTATGTCATGTCTGGTTCTTCTGTCTGGCACCAGCACAATAAAGGCTGGGAAATTTCATGTTGATAAGGAACTTTGTCTGCATGTTCAAAGTGGCCTCTTTATAATGGCATCTTTTGGGGCACATTATTACATTCACTGTTAATGTTGGAACAGTACATTGGAAATAATTCTCATACACATGGACGCACGTGTATACAGACATGATGCCCATGCGTTCTGCTTGCCACACTTCTATTTCAGAGAGTGGAGGCAGCCAAGTGGAAGGCATATTAGAAAGCAGGGGATATTGATTGTGGCTGGGGACGGTCTGCGCTTTGCATAGCAAATGGCCCCCATTACCATACCATCTCTGGATAATTAATGTGCAGTCAGTGGGCCTGTCGTTCGTTATCGGTCATTCTGATACTGTTCAATTTTCATCTCAACCTCATGCTTCTCTTAGGGAGCAGGGCTCTTCTCCCCCTTCGCCCCTCCCTTGCCATGCTCTGTTTTATAAATCACACACAAGAACCCTGGTCAACGAGTGTCTGCCACTATCTTGCCTGAGGAAAGATGTTATCGTGATGCAACTGTCTTGTGTCCTCTTATTATTCCAACATTAGCCAGACACAGAGGCCATGGAAGGCTCTTGAAATTAGCATTTGTGTGGCATTTAAGTTGCAGTATAAACCTGCTGTGAGTTGTGTGGCATTTAAGGTGTAATATCATCCTGCTGTGAGTTAGCATGCTCTTATTTGTTACTCTCATCTGATATCTTCCTTAAGGGAGGAAATAATTTAACCTAGTTAAGTCTGGATATTGTTGCAGTAAAAGATATGATGAGAAGAATTAAAGACAGGGGTTTGCAATCAGACCACTGTGAATGCCAATGCAATTTTTATGTGTCTGTAACATTACTCTGTGTACAAGCAGGTTCAGTACACTGTGTAACAATTACCACTGATGGAGTACTGCAGTTAGTCTATGTAATGTGTGACTAGTCAGATGTGTGTATTTGTCTGTCTAGGAAATCAGTAAGTATCAATGTGAGTGGTAGGTCATAAGCATCCTCAACAATTGTAAAAAAACGTCCTTGTTCCTTACAGAATGAATCTTTTCTAAAGGCATAAGGCCTCTATTTTGTAGTTTCTTCTCCCAAGTGTTTGCGCAGGTTTAAAAATAGGCAGCTTTACCCCAAGCTGCATCACAGGGATGAGATTTGCGGTCCTAACAGGCCGTGCAGATTGCCATTACTTATGCCTGACAAGCCTACCCTCTGATGTTTCCATGCTGGCCTATTTTAACAACATAAGCTGCTGCTGCCGCTCCCGCTGCTACCGAGATGCGAATTTCCAAATTGGCTGAAAAAGCTTGTCCTGGGGTTATAGTGAGGTTCCCAGAATGCATGTGGGCTGTCTAGTCTCCGGTACAGGATAGATAAAATACAGAGCCAAACATTGGCAGACAAACATTTTACCTGAGCTTGTTAAATGAGGTAAACATGTCTTTACTTGTGTAGATATGGTTTCAAATGGAATCTTGGTGTGTATCTGAGCGTGTCCGTGTTTCAAAGAGCCACTCACCTTTATGGTAGAAAGGCTTCTTCATACCATCGGGAAGCCGGGCTTTACGCTCAACACCGTAGCCATGCCTCGGGCCATGGTCTTCATGGGTATACCTCACTCCTTCTCTTCTGGCAGCCTCGGCTGCCATTTTATCCCGCATTGCCTTGGCGCGTTCTGACTCTAGTGCAATTGCCTTCTCTAAGAGGGACAGATTACCCTTTGTCATGTCAAACACCTCTTCTGATCGGTCCGATGTCACAGAGGCTGTGTCCTCATCAAAGTCCCGATGGTTGGTGTGATATCGGTCGTCCTGTGCACAACTGGAGAAGGCCTTGGAGCGTGGGCTCAGCTGCTCCTCGAGCTTCATGAGATTGTCCATGTCGGAATAATTCCTATCAAGTGTCCGTCTGTCGTCTTGGCTATTGTGGAAATCATAGCCATGATGCTGGGGCTGTTGATTGGGATCCCCGCATGAGAAATGATTTTGCTGGGATGGTCCATTGCGGTCAGTGGACTTTGTTTCACTTAGTTTCCGAGCCAGATCAAAGCATTGGTTCCGTAGGCACTCCAGACTGCTTAAACACACTTCCTCATCGCTGTTTTCTATTTGTCCATTACTGGTGGTCTTAATCTGTCCATTACCACCATTGTGTACATTTCCCCCATTGTGGACACAGTCAGCATCGTCCCTGTTCTCCGCTGTACTGTCGTCAAATTCCTGTCCATCTAAATTGTCAGACAACACTGCACCGTGGCCCTGTGCCAGCAGTTTAAGGGAGTCCACCGTCTCCCGAACTACATCACTGTCAACGTCCAAACTCAGATCGGCCCTCTGCGTTTCATCCCCTTCCCCCTCTTCCTCTTCCTCCTCTTCCTCCTCCTCTTCTTCTTCCTCCTCCTCTTCCTCTTCATCATCCTCATCCTCTTCCTCCTCTTCTTCATCCTCCTCCTCCTCCTCTTCATCCTCGGCACTATTAGAGGAGTTGCTGTTCATCTCCGATTCCGTCATAGCGCGGTTGGCGGCATCTTCAGCAATCTTTCCCAAGTTGAGGAGGGACTTGGCCACCAGTTCATCATAGTTTTCGTACTCATCGTTATTGTTGTCGTCCTTCTCTGTTGTCGGGCCCGATTTGGCATTGCTGCCGCCACCTCCACCATCACCCTCGCCCCCCTCGCCGTTGCTCATCTGATCGTCCTCTGTTGGAAAAAAAGAACAAACGTCTTGTAATTTCATTTCCGTCATTCTATTTTACTGGTAAATCAGATTTCTGGGCTTGGTCCATCTAAATTGGATAAGGAACTCTTTGCTTCCCCTAATAATTTACTTTGAGAGTCTTAACAGCAGCTTGTGTTCTGAATTGTGAATCAGCACAGGAAGTTAAATATAGTGGTTTGGGAAAGTTCCAGAGAAGCTGCTCTGGTAAATGAGAGTCTAGGAAACAAGGGACTATATCTCTGGCAAGTCTTATTTTTACCCTAATTCCCTAGATTTCTTAGGAAAAAGATATTCACAGGTCTTGTGATTTATAATATCACCAAAGGATTCTGTAAATAGTTGCAAATGAGATAACATTTTATTCATTGTTCAGCACAGTAAAATCAAAACACTATGAGGAAATCTTTGAATTAGAGAGAACATTTTTTACTAGAGAGTATAAAATCTGAGAGCTAATATGGTGTTCCATCTGTAACACGATGAACCCCAGTCAGTAGCTATTCATCGTTTGCTAGTGAAGTTCTTTTTTCATTCAATCATCAGTATCTTTAGAATTCCTTTCAGTGCCTAATTGATTCTGACAGACTGCAAAAGGTTACTGAACCTCTTCTGTCAGTAATTTCAAGCACTCACTCCTGGAGCACTTCCAATCTCTCCTTTCACATTTCCGCCCTGAGCCGCCAAGAGCACATCGCTCACATTGGCGTCACATTTGCCACTTACATTCCTGCAGAGAAAATGAACCCAAAGGCCCACACACACACACACATACACGCACACACACACGGATAATAAATAACAGTCTTCATCAGTTTTGGTGGGAATATGCAAATCACATGACAAACAATAATCATAAGAACAGAAAAAAAGGTAATTATTGGTGATGAAATACTAAATATTACGAGCTTCAAAGACTCTGGTATAAATTCGACTTACTACACATTTTAATATTTATTAAAAAATAAATGTGCACTACATAGTTTTTACATAAACACTCCTGTTCACATTCCTTCACACACACACACTGCACGCGCGCGCACACACACACACACACACACACACACACACACACACACTACAATCTAATGAGGGTAACACAGTATTGGTGCTTGGTGGGTGAGGGCTTTAGAGCGGGAAGAGGGAACAGTCACGAATGACCAGGCACATATTTTGACAGCGGAAGGCTTCTTACAGCAACCTCCTGCACCAGGGGTTTAATTTTTGATGGTATGAAACATGGCACAGGAAAGCAATTTGAAGCGCAATCAAGGTACACAAAAGGGATATGGAAGCGAAACAGATTATGGAGGGAACAGAGAGACTGCCCTGCCCTGAACTGGCGTTGGATTAGCTACAGAGATGTACATGCTACTGCCAAACACAGAGAAGCTCCACAAAGTCACCTACATTACATTAGGGAGATTGAGATCTGCCCAGCTACCATTCATTGGGGCTGAATGGGGACCATTGCATTCACGCATATGGATTTTTCTGCTTTTCTTAGGGAAAAAGGCAGCAGATTCATATGCTGTGAAGCCTTCTATTCCAATAAGGTAAACATCATAATGATTATTGAGCTAAGCAATGGCAAGGATTTGCAGAATTTATACTGGCAACAAGAACACAGTGTGGCATGCAAAGCACTTATTAAAAATACATGGTAATCAGCTACTACCCAAAGAAAAAAACGGCCGTTGACAGGCTGTAGAGACCGTGGCAACAGTCCACTGTCTCAGTGTTAAGGATAAGACCTCGGCTGTGGGCTCTAATGAACACCAGTCTGTAGAGATGTTTTCACATGTCTGCAAGAAAATAAGAGCATGGCTGCTGAGATGCCACATCAACACTTTGGGTGGGTAGAGCTACGCGCCAAACAGGGTTAACACACTCCTCTCTCAGAGCTTCACTCTTAATTGGACTTGAAGGCACTGTCAGGTCCAATCGTGATGCGGGGGTGCTAAGAAGAATCTGCTGGAGAGAAACCTGCCAGATCTGGTGTTGGGCACATCAGGGGGGGGGGAGAGGAGATAACATATGGGGCAGGAGTTTCTCAAATCCCAGTCCCAAAACAAGGTGGTATTTTTGTATCATGTCTTCAGGAAATGCATAATTAAACTAAGGCTTTGACTGGGAACAGCTCTGATATTTCTGAGATTTTAAATTTGTCAAGAAACCAGCAACTTAGAATCTTTGATGTTTAAAAAACAAAACAGAAAACTGATTTATCCGTAGTCTTTCTGCAGTGAGGAAAAAAAAAATCGTATCATGTAGGATGCAGCAATTTAGCATGACTTAGTTCTTTTAACACTCTGACAAAGGTCTTCTGGAGAAGGTTACACAATTTCAATGGGAAATAATTGCAAAAGAAGACCACGATGATTTCATCCATCACTTTGGATCATTCATCTGTAATTAGAAAAAGACCTGAATAGATAAATTGCATTTTTATTTACTTTTTTTATTTTATTTTTTTTTAAGGAGAACTCTGAAACAACAATTATGTAAAAAACAAGCTGATCTTTACAAATAATGTGGTGTCAATAAACTGCAAAGAAAATAATGAAATAAATAAATAACATAAACAAACCATGATAAAGAAATTACCAGTCGTGGTAGAAGTAAAGTTTCAGCCTCCTGGATTCAGTTGTTTAATGCAAAATGCATTCTGTGTTTAAGTATCAGGTTTAACCATCCTAAACAACTTGATTAATGCTGTCAAAAATGGAAATAAAAAACACAGACAGGGCTCCAGGCTGCAACCATTTTGAGAGTGTGCAAGTTAAAATTTCAAGTATTGCCAGTGCATGATGACCATGAAGCTGTTTTGTTGTTTAACCAGCGCAGACATCTACTGCTTTAAGTGGTGGAAAGTATAACTTTTTTTTCTTTTGTGGTTCTGTCAGTCTGTTCCTGCCTGATGCGTAAAACGAGCTGTTGTGCCGATGTGCGTTCCTCAACCAACAGAGAACTCAGACACCTGATGATCAGGCAAGTAGATACAGAGGGGTGAGCTTACAATGGCAGTAGCAGGGCTGCGAAATTTAATAACTTTCAATCACAAACATGATTTCAGCTTCTAACCACTATATCAAAACAACTGTCTACGGTCTTTACGTTTTAAAATGTGCTCTGCTCATAAAAGGCGTAGCGCACTTTTGTATGCTGTTTTCTCCGCTCATAGAAAACAGTGCATGTGGATAAAAGCAATTGGTTTCATCTTAGAAAATTCTGACTTAAGAAAACTATTTCACTCTTTTCAAACTAATTTTTGACACTGCAGCCACCCAGCAGCATCTACTGCAGCCTGCAATGTGAGGTGTTTAGGGAACATCAGTAAATGTGGGGTCCATCGATAAGCAGGTGTTGAGCTCGTGAGGCGTTTTGCCTGTGAGCAGGTTGGACGGGCTACTAACTAACAATGATGGTTGCACCAGTAAAGAAGCGAGACTAAAGCCTGGACAGACATGCAAATGTTGCATGAAATGCTTAAAGTTTTGAAAGTAGACTTTGATGTCTGTCTAGCCAGTTAGCAGGGAAAACAGCTAGCCTGGTGTTGTCTGAAGGTAGCAAAACACACATGAAGCACTTTCAATTATCCTGTAAAAACTTAGTTGGTCATTACCCCACCATAGAGCCTTAAGTTAGTGTTTTGTACTTTTCTTTTTTTTTGTACAGATTAAACAAACAAGATGGACCAGTTTGTTCTGAGTTTTAGAGGTGTGGGTTGGTGTTTTCTTGCCTTTGCTGTTTCCGCTCATTATTATTGTGCGCTGTTGGCCTCAAATTTACCGAACACGCATGAGAATGGCATCAATCTTCTCATCGAATTCTTACCAAGAATGTGAATGAGGGCATATCCTAAAATTTCAAACTATTCTTTTAAAATTCTGCTACATTGTTTGAATGGATTTCGTATATGATGATACAGTGCTCTCACCTTGCCCTTGATTCTGCTCTCCTTCCTCCTCCTCTCCTTCTTCATAGTCCACCTCCTCTACTGCTTCCTCCTCCTCCTCCCCCTCTTCTGCCTCCTCCACCCTCTCTTCGTCACCCTCCTCTTCCTCCTCTTGCTCCACCTCTACCTCCTCTTCTTCATCTTCATCTTCGCCCTCTCCTTCCCCTCTCTCCACCTCCCCTTCTTCGTGCTCCATTTGCTCCATGTTGTAGTCCATGTAGCCTTCAACCTCCTCCTCTTCCTCCTCCACTTCTCCCTCCTCTTCCTCCTCCTCTACTGTTCCTTCCTCCTCTTCCTCCTCCCTGTCATCCATCTCTTCGGTTCCATCTGTCTCGTAGCACTCCTCCATTGTGGAGTTGTCCATGTCATCAAGGTAAGTGCTCCTCTTGGGGGAGGTTTCCAAGGTTTGTCTGTCTAGACTCTTCCTCTTCTTGGCTAGAGGGCAGCCATACACACTGCAGAGAAGTGATAAAAGGGAAGCTGTTAGCCATTTGCTGTTAGTCTCACCTACCCATAAATGCTAATGTCATTTACAGACCTCTGTATTAAGATACTGTGGTTTACAAACTACATCTGAAAGTAATACAATGCTCACAGGAGCAAAGGAACAAGAGCTTCTCACTGCAACAAAAGTAATACCTCTCAAGTTCTTCTGCTGAGAAAAATTGCAAACTTTCCTTAAGAAACCTTAATTAGACATGTGCTCATTAACTTTTGTGGAATTATAATAAAATGCTCAGTTTCTTTTAGCAACAGTTACAGTAGGATCAAATATTTATCTTTGAATGAAACAAAGCAGAAGATTCAACATCAATTTGTTCCTCAGGCGAAAGAAAATCACTGTGCGTGCCCTGGAAACACTTTGTTCCAGACTGATATGCCCTTGTTCTGTAGTGAACCGAGTGCAGCAAAACACAACTGCCTGTCTGGAATTGACTGTAAGGGGGAAAAGACAACCTGTAGCCTGATTAATTGAATCTTGCCGAGGCACCTCGGGTTTTAATGTATTCTCTGGCTCCCCTCGGCAGCAGGGGGACAGATCCTAATCTGATAATCTGATAATCTGTGTATTTGCTCAGGCTATTGATCACAGGGGCTTAATCCATTTGATTCATCAACCCTCTGAGAGTCCCGAACTGCTACCTGACCCCCCCAATGCAAGCTGCATGTGTGTGATTTTAGAATGTCTGCTGCCGTGAGCCCATGTATGTGTATTGCGGATGTGTGTGTGTGTGTGTGTGTGTGTGTGAGTGCACATTTGAACAAAAGCACCCACACAGTCAGAATTATGATGAGTTCTGCTGAGTGTTTTGGCCATCAAATAAACCCCCTGTCCAGGCTGGAGTGTAAGAGAGCTAAACACGCTTTGGGCATGTTCACTCAGCTGTGAAATATCCCTGGTTCCTATTTTTACAACCTCTGGATGTTTCCCCGGTTCTGCACTACTTAGAGTAAGACCTGATGTGAATGAATGACACAAGGCTGTGTGAGAGTAAGAAAATAGTAGTTCACTGTGGGCTGCTTTTGTGGTGGAGCAGCTATGAGACAAAGTCATTGCAGGGGTGCTGATCGTCTTAGATACTCATTTTTGTTTTCTCGTTTTCTATCTGTTTTCTGGCAGTGTGCACCTCCGTCCAATATTCTATCCTTCCTCCATTCTCCCTCTCCCCCCTTTTCTCCTCAGTCCTGCACGTCCATCAGTCAGTCAGGGTCCAGTCAGCTGGCAGGCTCAATCTCACCCAGCCCAGGGAATCCTTAATGGTCTGACCCCCTGCACCCCCCGCAACCAGGGGCCTCATTTCATTAATCTAAGCCCACATGGAAACTCATTCCCTGCCTGACAACCTCTCCCCCAGGGCAGTGAGAGGGTCTGCGGGACAGTGAGGGAGGGGGGTGTGCGCTGCGGCACAGTGATCAATAGTGCTTGTGACCAAACATCTCAAAAGCACATTAAAGTGCCACTCATCCTGGCCCCTCCGTTCCAGGGCCCTCTCCAAATAAATCAAGGGCCGGTCCCAGCAGGTTAGCGGCTGCCAAGGCAGGCGGGCTGGCAGGAGAGGAGGATAGGTGAGTGGGAGGAAGAAGGGGGAGCAAGGATGGAAAGAGGGAGATGGAGAAGTAGTGTGAAAGGCAGACAGACAAAGGTCCTCACCCCTCCCTTCTTTCTGTCTCTGGTCCTGCATTTCTACCTTTATTTTAACAATAAAGCAGTCTTATGTTGGCTGTCAAGCACTGAGCCACACGAAAGCTCAGCGCCTGACACGTATTAATGTGACTACACATGAAAAAATGTTGTTGAACTGCTATAATAGCCTTGCAACATCAGCTAATGGATAGCAAATAATAAAGGCTGGGTTGTGTATTTTTCATTGTATTTTTAAAAGGAGTCAAGTACGCTTCATTATTTTGGGTCAGCATTGTACAAACAAAGATGCTTTTTAGCAGAGAGCGAACATGCTTTAAAACCTGACTATGCTAAAAGTTCCACCTACGGTAGAACACATATTTGGATCCCATATAAAAGCTCCTGTTCACTGAAAGCAACCACAGAGCATCTTATGTAAATGACTTTTAATCACACTGGTGTTGAGAAGCGTTGCATACAGAACAACTTGGGTCTCAGGTGTCCTCTTGTCCCTGAGCTGTCAGGTTGTTGTGACACTGTGAAAGGTGTGTTTGCCCTGACGCTCCTAAGCCCCACGATGACTAAGCCACAGGAAGCCTCCACAGCTTGGCCATCCCACGTTCCCTGGCTCTGTCGCTGGGTGACCTTGGCTACAACGTTCGTCATCACAGGCACTGCATCCCACTCACTGCACTTGGCAATTAAAATTCCAGAAATAATTAGGTGGCATTTAAATTAAACAGAGAAGAAATTCTGCAGGCATTGTACAGAGAAAGAAAGGTGATGAGAAAATACTGTACCATTCTAAGTTTCCCTTTGCTTTGTCCCTGTGGCAGAATCACAAAATCCTTCAACAAGAGTGTGGAGTATGAGAGGTAGCAATCAAAGAAGAAAAGAGCTTCAGATCACAAAAAGACCACTTCATATTTTATGGAGTGGGCATCCTCAGCATTATAAGATGGAACAAATTCTATTACAGTGTGAGCAAGTGGCCCTTTAATGCAGGAAAAAACCTTCTAGAAATGTTATACAGAGAGGGCCCCATTTCTGGAGCATTAATGTGAGGCAGGGGAGACGAGCGGCAGGAGAAGGAGAGCTCCTGTTTGGCTAATTTTGGGCGACAGTTGAGCGACTGCTGGAATGCGACAGCGTTCCACGGTGCCTTTATTAGCAGTCATATTAGCGGCTGTTCGCAGCAGGGGCAAAAGCTTTAGCCAGTCATTAGCATCACACACTATTTGTCTCCCTGACACAGGGAGGAAGCTGCTGTTGCCTCTTCCTCTGCCTCCTCTCACTGCTGCTTTTTTTTTCTCGACTCTTCTCAGCTTTGTCATCTCCTGCTGTCACCAACATTCTAAACTCATATCTGTACTTCTCTGTGTTCACCCATCGTAACCTCACGTGCTCCTTTTCCTTCTATACATCCACTTTTTCCACCAATATTTTAGGCTTTATATGACTTCTCTAACATGAATGTCTCTCTGGATCTTCATTAGTTACTCTTTGCACCTGTTTTCCCATTTTCTCCTATCTCTTCCTCAGCCTCAGTTACTGTAGCCTCTCTTTCTCTCTCCACAGAGGAGACTGGAGATGGAGGGAATGCACCACCTCTGACTGTGCTCCCTATCCAGCAGGAGGATCTATAGACACGTGTGGCAGAGCCCCGTCTCCATGGTGATACCCTCCAGAAATCCATGAGGGATTCGCCATCCTCACAGCCAGCCAGTGAGGAAAAATGAGAGAGAAAGGCAGACAGGGAGAGAAAATGAGAGTTGGGGAGGAAAATTAGAGGCTGTAGGAGCGAGACAGATGGGAGAATGTATGTTGTAGTGCATGTTTGCATTTGTGTACATACGTCTTTTGTGTGCACTCAAAACTGGGAAATATATGGTAGGAGAGTTGAAAAGAAAAGGAGAGTTGCGTATGTGTGTGTGTGTGTGTGAGTGTGTGTGTGTGTGTGTGTGTGCGTAAAGAGGAGAGAGGATCATTTCAGAGCTGTCAGGCTTCTCCCGCTAGCAGGGGAGAACAAAAGACAGTGTCTTGGTGCAGGAGGCTCAGCGCATGGCAGACGCTGCAATTTGGGGCGTTTTCTGGCGGCTCAGGCTCCAGCTTGCATATCAGCTGCTGTGGCCCATTCATACACTAATGCAGACACACAGACACACACATCACAATGGCTGTCAGACTCTCCTAAAACTCATAAAATATTACTTCGTAGCTGCGGTCTTGAAATAATCCTTACTGTCAGTGAAACTTATATGATGTTTGTGTGTAAGTGAATGCTCATGTGCTGCAATTACATGTCCGCTTGGATTTACACACAAGTCCTGATATTAAGAGCAACGTTTGAGTGTATTCATTTCATGTTTGGCTACAAATTTGAACAAAGCATTAACATGCCAGATCTACCATTTCTTGACACCACAATTATGTATTTCATTGGTTTTAGACAGTGAATGCAGCGGTGAAGTAGCTAAGAAGCAGCAGCCCCCAACAGACATGCCGTGCATCTCACTGGTTCAAAAAGCCTGTTGTTCACTGCTCCAGCTCTAACATTTGTAGCCTGCAGCTAATAAAGTCAGGCCCAACTTTAGTCAAATACTTCACCACTTGCACCGTCTTGACTCTGATTGCTGTTAACTCTTGTTCTTTTTTTAAATCCACACCATTGCTGGTGTCCTTATACCCTACTGCCTCTTTAGTTTCCTCTTTGTCCCAAGCCTAGCGAGAGCCTCACAGCTCTACAGGGCTGGAATACAGCACAGCAGTGAGCAAATGCTTTAGTGAGCATCTCACATGTGCTGAGCAACATCTTCCTACATTTATCCTCGCTCCCTGAGTCCATCCAAGACCTTAGCTGCTCCCTTTTAGCTCCTTTTGTCCTATCTGCCAACTACCAAACCGCATGCTTGGGGGGGAAAGTACCTCCTAACAGGTTGTTTGTGCACCTTACTGATAGTGTCCCTATCAAGGAGCTGGAGTGCAGCTGCTGGGGGATGTGAGAACAAGCTGAGAGCAGAGCAATGAGATGAGACTCAGGGCTGCTCAGATAATTTTTGCTGTTGCACCAGATGAGATGGCAAAACACTTCTGTAGATTCTGTTTAATGATATGGAGGAAGGAGGAAATATAAAGCTTAATAGTGATAATATTTTAAAGTCTGGGATCGAGCTCAAATGTTTTGATTGCATCATTTTTTTAAAATCATACAAAAAATCTTTGGGTTTTGGATTGTGTGAGCGTTTCATTCTCTGATAAGTCTTAACAGGCTTTTTTTTTTATTATTCTTCTGGCATATTCGACACCCAACAATTGATCAAGAACACAACTGTCAGATTGAT